CTATTTTAGAATGAATTTAAAATTCTTGGAAAAATATTTCAGAGAAGAATGAGAGGAGATTATTAGCCATATCACTTGATATTACAGGTAAGAAATACATGGAAAAACAGATTTAAAGAAACCATGGCATGAGACTCAATTAAGCCAAATAATCCAAAAATATTTAAGGATGAACCTGGAAGGGACACAATAGAGAGATGAAAATACAAATGATATTTCAAAATTTTTACAACCAATTATTTTCTTCATCAATGACAATACAGTATTAAATGCATGAGGAAGGAGAATCTCAGATATTATTATTACTGAAAAAAGTGAACAAGAAATGTTAATAGCTGTCAACCCATAAGCCTACCTTATCATCTTCACAATAATTAATGAAAAAGTTTACAAACAATTCTCTATGATGGAACACATCTTTTGAACAAAGCAATTGACTGAAAAGTATAGAGAAGATAATATCCCAATAACCTTACAGTACTTAAAAAAAACTGATTTCATAGAGCATATTTGATATTAAAAGCTCTATTTAAATATGCCATTCATGTATACGGTATGGTAAGGCGATATAAAATCTCTTGATAGAAGATATAACTTTATTTGAATATCTTTTGATTATTAATATCAACTGAGGCCCAAAAAAGAGAGACTCATGATCACAAAAATAAAAAATTATCTGTCATGGAGTATAACTGTCAGGGAGTATTTCCAGTGCAGTGTCAAACTGAAAGAGATACTTCCTGTAAACAATGAGGTCCTTCATTTGTGTGCAACTTATATTTGGCTGATTTTATCAAACTGTGGAACATGACATAGCCTTTTCAAGTAGTTCCACAAACAATAAGCCAATTAAAAATTACTAAGCATTTACAAGCATTGCACAAACATTGTGATAAGTGCTGGGGATACCAGGAAAGATAAAAATAGTTCTTTTCCTCACAGATCTCATATTCTAAATAAAGAAGAAAACATGTAATTATCTAGGTACATAAAAGATATATACAGAATAAATGGAGGTATTTTCATAGGAGAAGGAACTAGGAACTGGGGAAACTAGAAAGGTCTAGGCCAGGCATGGAGAACCTGCAGACTGAAGACCACATGTGAACTTCTAGGTCCTTTTGACTAAGTCCAATTTTTACAGAACAATTTGTTCTGTGAAGTTTGGATTCAGGAGTGATGTGGACAAGGAACAACAAGGAGGCATGAGTAGTAGAATCACAGTCTTATAATATTGTTTAAAATGTGGTACTGCTAAACCTCCAGCATATGGCGAGGAATAAGGTATAGGAAGAATAGAAAACATAAGAAGGTTTCAGATTGTGAAGAGTTTTAAGTGCCAAATAGAGGGCTTTGATTTGATGCTGGAGATAACTATGAGCTGCTGTAGCTCCCTGATTAGGCGGTGATATTGTCAGGTATATACTATAAGAAAATCACTTTAGTATCATTTCAGTGAAGGATAAATTGGAGTGAGGAAGGACTTGAGGCAGAAAGATACAGCAGAAGGTTATTGCAATAGTAAAGGTCAAAGTTGCCTGGAGCCTGAACTAAGGTGGTAGCTGTGTGACTATAGAGAAGGAGATATATACAAAAGATTGTGAAGATAGAAACAACAATATATATTTGTTGATTAAATATATAGGATGGGTGAGAGTGAGGAGGAGAGGATGACAGTGAGGTTGTGAGCTTATGTAACTGGGATGATTGTAGTGCCATTGACACTAAGAAGGAAATTTGGAAGAGGTAAGGATTTGGGGAAAAGATAATGAATTCTGTTTGGATATATTCAATTTGAGGTACCTATGAGACATCCGTAGATGTTCAAATGGAAGTCAGTGATATGGAACTAGGGATCCAAAGAGACATTATGTCTATTAATAAACATATATGTATATACATACATACATATGTGTTGTACAAACACACACACATGTGTACATGTGAGTACGACTTGTCGGGATAGAGATGATAATTGAACCCATGAAAGCCAATGAGATCACCTATGGGAGATCCTATAGAGGAAAATGAGAATAGGGTTGGAACTTTGAATGGAAAATTGTGAAGGATTTACAGTGAACATACCCAAGAATTATACAGGATGAGAAGGCACGAGCGAGAGATGATTTGAACTGTTGGACAGAGTATTCATATCTATAAGATTACAAAACTCTAGAAGTATTGAAATATTGTCACATATAATTATTTCAAAATAAAAGCCAATCAACAACAAAAACAACAAAATCATCTATCTTATCTTCTATAACAGTATCAGACTGAAAGTAGGAGTACTGACCTAAATTATCACTTTTCTGAAAATTATTACCTTAGCAGGTCTGTTTCCTTATTTTGCATGTTGTTTGTTTTTACTATATGTAAATGTTTTAATTTCCCTTTTTAATATTTTATTAAATATTACTTATGTTATTTTAAAAATGATTTTTAAATTATACTCTTAGGCAAGGTGTCACCAGTCAGCCCTATCAGTTCACTAATTTCCATCATATTATTTAAAAATTACAAAATGTTTGTAATAGTTATAAAATTTTCTAGAAGTATTACTTCTGAAAAATTCAGGGTTTTGTGATCTCTAATTCAGTCTATAATTTCTGTGGAAATTTAACCTTAATTCACTATAAATAAAATTCAAATTTCTTGGAGAATAGCTCCATACCAGTGAATTTCTACATTACTTCTGTATGCTAGGAATAACAGAGTATGACCAAGTATTTCTTTAATGGAGGTATAGAAGAAGACAGAGGAAAATAATTCCAGTTCAATTACATTTCTTACACTTATTATTGTTGTAACATTATATTAAATCTCTTCAGTTTTCTACTCAAGGCAATTTTATTCCCATTCTTTTATTTGCATTTTAGCACTAAATGACACTCCTACACTGTAGCATTCCTAAAGACCCCAAACATTTGGTTGGTTAGAATAATACTAAGTACAAATTCCTCTAAATAGAAGATATGTAATATGTGGTCTCACAAAGTCAGCTTTCAATGACCACTAATTTTACATAGTACTAGACAAAACTGTACTTTGCTAGTTATATACTAAAGTCTATTTTTAGGATATTATAGCTGACTAAAGATATTTAAGGCCAAACTAGTATTTCTCAGAGCACTCAAGGATGGAAATTTGTGCATAGACTTTGAATAGCTATATTTTTATTATTTGATTTCTTTAAAAATTATTGGTTACCCCAGTGCTTTTGTCATTTTGGACTTCAAGCTGCTAAGTACCCATAGGGAATATTACCAGATATTGCTCAGTTTTGAAAAGAGGGGCTTGTTCTCCTGTATATATATATTCATAAAATATAGCTTTAACCCTCTGTATGTAATAGGAAAAATAAAGCAACTTTGAAAAATTTCTGCCCTTTCCTTAAGTCATACAATGTCATAATCCCTTGAAGCAGAGACACCTTCTTTAGGGATCTATACGGGCCTTTACAGTCACATAATGGCAAATCCCTTGGCTGCAACAGGAAGTAGGTGCCTTTAACATCCTGCATTGAAGTACATGATCATTCTAAAGCATAAAAATTAAAATTCATGAAGTTTACAACTGCATAATTTGTGCTATATACAGAAACTACTTTCTTCATGTATGTATATTCACCATGAAACTTGAAAGAGATTTCTTAGTACTGATCTTCACTATAAGGAAATGTTCTCAGTTTTCCAAATTGCTTTAATTCTCTCTCTTCTCCCTAATATTTTACTTCCATTTCTCCACATTTCCCCTCTTTTCAAAATTTAACCTCCCTTCCATAGTAACAACTGCAGAAATTTGATAGTTGCAAGAGACCTCAGAAGCAACTGAATTCAACTCATTCACAAAAGAATACCCATTACAACATATCCAACAAGTGGTGTCCTAGCTTTTGATTGAAAACTTCCAAGGACAAAAGGGTGAGAAAGGAGATCCCATCACCTCTTTAAGCATCCCATTCCCTGCTTTTCTTGACACAAAGCCTAAATTAGACCTTTTGAAATTGCTACTTGAGCTCTGAAATTTGGGGCCCAAATTCCAATCTCTCCACATGATGATCCCTCAATGATCCCTGAAACTTAATTACTACATATTACTCAAGACTCAATTAGGAAAATGCAAAAGGCATATCAACTTTTATAGCACTTCTGCCCCCCGCTTCATGTTTGTTTGCTTCGTAATCAGTCACAAATGCCTAATCATAAATGGGAGTGATTGCCTGGTTTCTGATCACTCAATTAAGCCCTGACAACTTTAAAATCAAAATATGTCTTAAGAGAACAAATAAATTTCTGTTTAATTATAGTATGTGAAATATTAAATAGTTACAAAAGTTTATATTATATGAAAATTAAATATAAGAAGAAATGTCTTAATTTTTGTTTTCTTAAAGATGAACAGAATATACAACTCCTTTAGATTTTCCATCCCCATATTTTCCCAGTACTAGACATAAAATTCATCTTCAAAAAGATATGGTAGCTAAAATGGCCAACCCAAACCCAAATATAAAATCATAAAATTTTAGACCAAGATGGAACCTAAGAGATCAACTAATCCAACTCCCTCATTTTATAAATGAGAAAAACAATCACAAAAGAGATTGGGTGACTTGCCCATAGTTCTACCAGCAGAGCCTGAATTGATTAGTCTGACCCTAAAATCAGTCCTCTTTCCACCTAACTAAACTGCTCTGTCAAATACTTGATAAATGTGTAGGCCAAAAATTATAAATACGTAAATTACAGAATATAAAGCAAGTTTTTAAAGTTTCAGGTTCTTTTAATCAGGGATCTCAGGTTAAATCTGAAACACAATGCCAGTTAAACAACAGCATAATCATTACCTACTTTATCAGTCATTCAAATTGCAGACGAGCCATAAAAACATCTTCTACAATTCGTAAACTAACCTTAGTAATCCTAGTACTTTCTTATTAGATTAATTGTTTACAATCTATGACAAAAATAATAAATAATTTTAAAAGATGTCTTTACCAAAGACGGTCAGTTCTGCTGGATCACTGTCTCTTTCTCCCACCATATTTGTGCCAACACAGGTATACATGCCCGCGTCACTCTTTCTAGTGTTTGAAATCATCAGTTTTCCACCACGGATCTGTTTCAAATAAAATATTCATGTTTATAGAAATATGTTAAAATCCTTACATCATAATCAAATCATTATCAGCATGTTATTTTTGCTTTTTAAGATCAAATATGGAGGTGAGTCAGTCATATACTAAGGATGACAGAGAACATTTGGAGGGTCTGAGTGCTCAACAAGAGAATCCTCTACAGAAAGATCCTTTGGGCAGATCCTTTAAGAAAACTTATGGGGAAATACAGATATCTTACTTTTTGCTGCCCAGTCTTCACATGAATCAGGAATAATTCAAAATGTATATTAGAAATGCACCAAAGGACAAAATTACCAAATACATCTTACCTGTATGTTCAAGTGCCTTGGAATAGACCTTCTATAGATAGAACCCACATCTAGACTTTATCCAACTTAACTTGATGTCTAATCAAACCCTCATCAGTTCTCCCAATTACTCTTCTTTTCTCTATATCCACTAAGTATCTTCTCTATAGCCTCTCTACATCATACTCAGTAATTTCCCAGGAAATACTATTTATTAATATTTTAGTAAGCACTCTTGCATGATCAAGAATCATTTTTCTCTATATTCCACATTTACTGGCAACCCAACTCCCTTTAGCAATGAAGATTCCATCAACATAGACAGCCAGAGTAGGAATAATAAGCTTTATTACCTTTATTGTAAGCTTTATAATCAGACTGGATCTGATTCAGTCATATCGTCATAGCCTATGTATAAGAAAAATCTGCCTGTTAAAAAATGAAAGATGACCATGCACAGGCCCAGTGACATGGCCTACTGTTTACATCTGGTCCCCAAATTCAATGAAAGGGAAAGATTAAGTTAGATGAAATTCCACTTTAAAGCATAAGAATTATACTAAATAGTGCTTCAAATAACATTGCTTTCAGAAAATCTTCAGGTGAGTCAACTCAATAAAATACAACAAACGATTTGGACCTGGTCAATCTTTTTTTTTATTTTACAAATATGGATTTTTCTCATGCATAAAAAAAGCTAAGTAGTTAAAACAGGAATTTTAAAAAAAATTTTGAAACATTTTATTTTAATTTATTTACATAAAAATGCCATAAAAATTTATCTGGGAAAATTAATTTAAGAAAAAAATGATTGAAAGTTGCTTTATCATAAATATTTGCATCTTATAAGGCACAGAGTAGTTTAATGGAGAGAGGGCCAACTTTGGAGTTACGAAGACCTGGCTACAAGTATTATCTCTGCTATATATAAGTTGTGACACTGTGTAGGTCACTCATTTCTCAGTGCCCCTGTAATTCCTTAAGACTATAAAGATGAATTATAAATCTGTATCAGAGGGTGAAGTTTAGAGATGAAGTACTCCCCTCTCTGATAAAATAACAGGTCCAAACTAAAACAAATAATTTTCTAATGATTTTTTTCAGTTCATGTACTTTCTAAATATTTCTTACTTCTTAATTGGTAATGAATGACTTGTCATTGAAATTTTAAAAGGAATATGGAGAGTCATGTTTATTTTAAACAGATAATAAAATGTAATTAATTTGTTAGAGATAAGTTCTGGTATAAAACATTCATCTTTATACAATCTAGATGTACATTGGCTATAAACTGTCATTTCAGTTTGACTCACACTTATTCTCTCTTCTCTGTCATCAATTCGAACTTTGTCTTTCTTCCAATAGATGGTGGGCTCTGGATGTCCTCGGGGAGGCTGGCACTCCAAGATGGCAGGCTCTCCAGCTGCCACAACAACATCTGTGGGATTTTGCCGGAAGTCATCTCTTAATACTGAGAAAAGAAAATGATTTTTTTTGTTTGTAAAAATCTGATTGACAGTGATTTTCACATTCCGAGGTATAAGCAGAATGTGTTTATTCAGTTCTTTTATTTATCGAGAAAGTTTCCAGGTGATTATCATTGGCAAATCATTGTTCTGGCTGTTAACATTAGAAAAAACTCCAGAAAGCAATTTAATTTTGTTTTAAAACTCAGAGTGGAGGCAAGCATCGAGAAAGCTCTATGAAGCACCTTTCTTATGACATGAATACAGACGGGATAGATGCTATTTTCATTAAACTTCTGAAGGTAGATTAATTTTCACCATTTTAACATACTAGCACCCACATATACAGGCCTTCATTTTCATCCATTCTGTAATTCCACCTGCCAAGTGACATCTGGACAGCGTGACATGCAGAGGAGGAATATCCCTTATAGCAGTTTTGTCAGGCTGACATTTTCCTCTTTTCATTAAGGAGAACAGCAGGTTGGACCTCAGTTGTAACCTCTGAAAATCTGGCATGCCTGGCTCTCCAACTGTCACCTATATCTTTTCAGGTTTCCTTTTTTCTTTTTTTCTTCTGGGTAGGTGAATTGCCTGAAAAAATGATTCATTCCTTACTGGATTGAAGATTTGCAATTTTATTAGGCAAGTAGTAATTTTATTTAAAAAGATCTACATTTTAAAATTAACAGTTATGAAAGGCAGTCAAGCTAATATGTCTAATGTCATGACTGTACCTATTTTCCCTATTTGCTAACGTTCTTCTAGCCTTGACAAGTTTGGTATTCCAGTGGATAAAGGGAGGGAAATTGCTCATGACTGATAAAAGCTGTCTGGAAACAAAATTAAGCAAAGAATTAGTTTCTTAAGTAAATTACACTCATGTAAATTGGGATTAGGTAAATTAACTGGCTTCAGTGTCCCATAATGATATATATTTCCCTATGATCCCTACTCATTGGTCTAAGTCTCTGGGTTAATTGGCATTCTCCAAATAAATAAATGTTCATCTCCTGAAAATAGCTCCAGAGAGACAACTGAGAATTTTAGGGCTTTCTCCTTCTTGCCTTTCTGCTACATATCCTTTAACAGAGTTTTCCATCTTAATTAAGCCATAACCCTTTTAAAGATTAGAAAGTCTCCCATTGAAGGAACAATCAAGAAAACTTTAGTGCAAATTAGTCTTTCTCATCATATAAATAGAGTGAATTTACTGCTTTTGAAGCTAAAAAAATTAAAGCTTAACATTCAGAAATACTTATTTTCTGTCCTCTCAACTTCTAGGCAAGAATGTGTGATTGATATACATAAAAGTTTGTTTCTGAATGGGCTGAGGCATGTGTACATTTAAATGTGATATTCCTTCGTGGGGTTATAATTTGTTTCTCAATCAGGTAAATTCTCTATACTTTGTTGATTAATTTGTGTTCTAACACCTAAACAGCTGCCTATTTATACAATGCTAAAAAGTGCAAAAACGTGGTAACAGGGTGATGAGTATTCTTACAATATCTGAGACTGGCAACAAATGGTGTTTTGGCAGAGACCCAAATTGTTCCAAAATGGCACATCTGGCAAGTCGAAGCTGTCTTTAGAATTGGTTTCCTCACAAAAACATGCCAAAAAAGCAACTCAAAAGCTACTTATAATTAATGCAAATCATTCTCATGTACAATTCCATTTTGACCACAACAATACAAATTACTGAAAATAGCATCTTTTGACTTAGGAAACAAAGATAAAAACAAATAACATGGAAAACTATAGCAGCACAACAAGATGGAAGGCATGGGTTGCTACTGTTTAGCAATAGAACATATGTTTGTGGCAATTACAGAAAAAAGATTCCCATTTGCAAATGAAGCCAAGAAAACCAACATCCACAGTAATTTCATGCTTGCAGACCACTCATGCTTGAAGTAGAGGGTAGACAATGATACAGCTAAGGACTACATACTTTCACAATTTATAAAATACTCTGGTGCTTGCAAGAGTTTTTAGAAATTTACTTTTCTTTATCACTTTATATCATTCTCTTTATTTCAGGTTATCTAGAGAGACAAAACCCAAAATAAATGCATAAATAGATAAATGAAAAACATCAATTTAAAGTTGCTGTAAGAATGATAAAATCTTCTAGAAAATGTTAATACAAAAATACTCATACATGGGACAAACTAAGATTTGTCAGCCATGACTGTGACAGGTCAACTAACCTTGAACTTCTCCAATGCTTTTTACAATGTCTGGTCTCTGTGTTTTTAATACCTATTTTTCCTAGTGTACACAGATATGATTTTACTTCTTAATGTTTTGTAACTATAAGTTTTATTCTTTACTCTGAGAAATTCTAATAAATCAATACTTACCATAATCAATCATTATAAATCAATGCATACTATAGGATACATATATGTATAGATACATTTATATACAAGCATATTAATAAATAAAGGGTATGCCTCCTTTCAAGGATCTTTGTGTATGCAAATTTTCTCTCTCTTCCCCTATGGGATCAGTGTTAGCTTTTCACAGGTATTAACTCAGAAGAAAAGCATTATGTAAGGCCTTTGATTCCTCACTTGTAGGAATAAACCAAGGTTATTCTCCTGACACTAGCCAGATAATTGGCATATATCCTATAAGTGTTAATTGTGCCTTGTCTTTTGCTTTTATACCTAACACCAGCCAAGAATGTCTCCCCATCCATTCCTCAAAGGCCCTATATCTCTGGAATTATAGATAAAATCCTTTACCTCTCCCTTGCTAGCTAACATTAAGTAAATTAGAGAACATCATGTGAGTTTCTGCCTTATCTTACCTGGAACCAATACTCCATGTCACTTTTTAGACACTTCCAATACATGTATCACTTATACTCTCAACATCTTCCTTTTACTCCTCATCTTCCTCCCACTAGAACCTTAGACTCCATTCCTGGGGCCCTGAGCCCTGATAGGTTAGATTTTGCTGTATCTTCTCTAGAAGACACTCTAGAAGACTCTAAGTCACTTTTCAGTCATTTAAAAAACCATGCTGCTGCAGCTGTGCCTCTTCCTTCCTCTCCTACCCCCCCCCACTCCCTTAATTATCTCTTATTGGTGTCTTAAGCTCCCTGAGGTTAGGGACCGTCTTGCTTACTTTTACTTGTATCTCCATCACAGTGCCCATCATATAACATATGCTTAATATATGCTTTAGCATTCATTCATTTATTCATTCATCCCAATCTGATACTCTCATGTCCCTCAATCAATTACTAGTAGTAGATAACATCTTGTTCCCCACAATTGCCATGTTGGAGGCCCTGAAAAGTAGGAATCATTTCTAGTGCATGACACATTTGTATGCCAAGGCGCACACACACACACACACACACACACACACTCTGAATGGTCTTGTTAGCCTTGAGGGCATACGCTATTTCTTTATCTTGATACCATTAGCAACTAGTGTAGCACTTTAGGCATATAATAAATGTTTGCTGAATGGAACTACATTGAATAAATTTGAGCTGGAATAGGAATAAATCCACCCATTGAAAGTATGTCCCATCATTCAGTCCCAATTATGAACAATAGTTAATGAAAGTGGCGAGGGTGAGAGTCAAAAATACATTCAAAACAAGTTCTTTTCTTAGTCTATCACTGAGTATCAATTTCTTTGAATCTTTTCCCTGACTTTCACTTTTGTTTTCCTTCTTTTCCCTATTCTCATTCTTATACTTCTTTTCTTTACTGAATCTCTCCCATGCATACTAACGTTATTACTAATAAAGTCAGAGAGAACATAAAGATCATAGAACCAGTTGTGCAATGTAATTCAGGACAAGAGAGAAGAAAAACCTTGCTCTTGTTACTATGGTAGTATACTAAGTGTCTTTGGAAGCATCTACTTCATAAGAGGAATAGAATGTCATGCAACAAGAAATTATAGTAATCTAGACCCTAGAAAACTTCCAAGTCTTCCAAAAGCTCCTGTTTGTGGGTGGCATTACAATGATTTCATCAAGCCCCAGAACACTGAAGTGTCCATATCAGTGATATCCACAGCCACTTGAAAGAGATCAGCCCTATAATTCATGAAGAAAAAAAAAATTAAAGATGCATATTTTCTGGATTATGAAATGCAGTTGGAAAGGAAATAATTAGAAGTTAGTTCATTTAGTGTGTATCTTAGACAAGCCATGAAGATGGAAAATGGTCTAAGTTCAGAAATTAATCAGTACAGTATAGTCATTTCTCCCTTCTTTCTGAGAGCTTAAGTACACTGGCAGAAATACTGGTGAAATCAGCTTGCTCCTCACTCCAGTTCTTTACACCGGACACATGACCATCTGTGTTTCATAGTACCCCAGTTTCTCAATATTTAGAAAGATTAACATAAAACTGTTATGCAGATGAAGTGGAAAGGGAAAGGCTGAAAGGCATGGAAGCAAAAAAGAAGGCTATTGAAGTAATCTTGATGTAAGTTGATGAAGGCCAGAAGTAGAATTATGGTAATGCTGCAATGGGGAAACTTTGAAGTGTTTTCAATAATCCCAGGATTGATTCATGTTTCATAAATCCATCTTTTAAACACTGTTATTCTTCAAGTGAGCTTTATAACTGTAAATCATGGAAAGCTATGATTTCTTAAGAATCAAAATCACAGGCTCCAAAGGGGCAATAGAAACATCCATGATGGTTAAAATCAGTTTGCAATGTGTTACCAATTATGAATTATGATCAAACATGAAAGGCAACATGAAGATATATAGGACCAAAAAAAGAAGAAGGCCAGTCATATGGCCAGAGATGGATGGCCAAGTACTGAATTTTGATAACCATGAAATACCAAAATACCCAGAGAAAGGATTCCATAATGTCAGCTATATAACCTGTAAGATATTTACTAAGAAATGATGTACATGAGAATAACAAAGGATGAGAAGGCACAGACAGATTATGAGTTCCATTAGGTTAGGGATTAGCCACCTGGATGAGATCACAAATCCGTGGAAGTA